AATCACACCTATTCCATCTTCAACAAATCTATGAAAATGACAAACTGTACAATCTATAGAAAAATTATAAAACATCCAGTTAAAAAAAAAATGTGAAAGAGAGAACTATTCGAATAAAGTAAGGGGGAACGAGTTTGAATTTCTATTGAGGCTTGGATTTTCATTCATAATATGTAGACTTTCTTTTATCAAAACTATGAGAGCATTATATCCACCTAACCCTCCTATATATTCTCACAATGAAACATCATCCCACCTCATTTCCTTAGAAAACTTTTTAATTCTAACTTATGGATATAATGGTCACGAAATGTTGATAAAAGAAAGTCTACATATTATGAACAAAAATCCAAGCCTCAATAGAAATTCAAACTCGTTCCCCCCTTTGTTTTATTCAAATAATTCTATCGTTTTTTTTTATTAAAGGTTTTATAATTTTTCTAACACTATTCATTCAAAAAGCATGGTAATGTGTTGTGCAGCCAAAACAACCTGTAGGATATACTGTGTGTTATTAACAGAAGTGATAGTTTAACAATTTTCCACTTACTGTAGCTCAGACTGTGGTAATTCAAATTATCATATATTTTCAGTGAATGTGCTATACTGGACCCTTACTTCACATACCAAATTTCAAGGCAATCCATTAAGAAATACATAAGATATAAAATCTCCAATTTTGATTCAAGTTCTTCACTTTTTTTTTCTTTTTTTGCACCGAAAATACGGAAACTTTATTTGATAGAAAAACTTGCTTAACTTTTATTGATTTTTTCAAATTTGGTACACTGATAGATCTTTACAACCTACAATTAGATGTCAAATTTGGTCTAAGTATAAGCCATATATGAAAAGTTTAACAAAAACAGCTCAATTTTGAACAGAACTTTTGCACATGCCCATGCAAAAAGTCACGTGAGATATTGGTCTACAATTTTTTACTACAGCTTCACCTAAGAGTAAAAGTGGACCTTTTCTAGTTTGTCATTTGGATTAAAGATGGTTGATTTAGAGCAGCAAAACTATAGGGTGAAAGCACGTGCAGATGGTTAGGCCAAGCAAACTAGATTATCAGTTTCAAGTTCAAGTTTTCAAATAATCATATGGGTGGATGGGTATTATACATTGTCAAGTTTAAGCATAAATTTGCTAACTTCTAAGAAATTCTCCTAATTAAAGAGCATTTAGCATCACATGATATTAGCTTAAGCTATTATCGTAAATAATAATGTTTGATACCACTGTACTGAGTGCATGTGGGTGATAACAAGAAACTGTTAATCCACATTCCATGGCATTATTATAAAGGCAGTTAACAACACCGTTTTAGAGAGGAAAAACTATTACCATATATTTTAAAGAATCTAGTTAGTTCTGTAAAGTATAGGTCTGTTCCAAATAATATGGTTGTGATACTAAACTAATGTTGGTTGCTATCGAGTTTCACTTTCTTTACTTGCTGTGGTTTTTTTGGTGTGTATTGATAAAAGTCATGATATCTAGTCAAAAACACCTCAGGTATAAAAAAAAAAAGGTGCAGCCAAAAAAAGATTGTGTGTGCGACTCTAAGGAACGAAATCAAAATTACCATCCAAACTGGTTAACTACATTTACAGCATTGATAAGAATTTTGCAGTAAATGTTCATAAATTAATTAGTTAGGCTGCATATTTTGTTTTACCCATCATCATTCCCCAAGTCTGTCACAATATGTAGTCATTCTAGTAAGAAAAATCATCTTGCACTCAGAATAATCACAGTCTGAGTGCGACTGCATTAGTAAGTTCACATATAAGACTTTAGTAAAAATATGTGTAATGTTTACTGAAAGCTTTACAAATTTTGTGAAGATACAGAATTATAATACACTAATTATTCAATATGGGCTCAGTCCAGTGGACCAGCCCTTTGTAAATAGGGTTATGGAATAAATTATCACGAGAATGTCAAATGCAAAGTTTCTATGGTTTGAGTTCTTACCATCTTCCCCTTGAGTTCTAGTCAATCAATAATGAATATTTTGCATGCAAATTCTTTGATTTTAACAACACAATAATATCTTAGCTGGCAATTAGATAAGAAATACTATTGTGGTATGTTACTAGACGAAAATCAACACCACTGTTCTCTTTGGATTTCAGACCCAAATATCTTTAGATACCTACCTGTAACTCCACTTGGGCTGTCTTCATCCTCACTTTCTGGATAGCTCACCATACCCCGAAGTGGATTTCTAGGGGCTACAATCAAACGTTTTGTTAGATTTCATTTAACACAGAATATTTCAACAATACAAAGACATAAAGAGAAAGAATATGAATAAAAGTTGTTTTCGTGCACAAGTCTGGTAAAACCATCCAAAAATGGCAAATTAATGTAGTAAAACTAATGTGTGATACCTAGTGTCTCTGGTAGTTTAAAACCAAAAATAGATGATGACAAAAAAAAAAAAGAAGTGAAATATGTTAGCCAGAGAAAGGGAGTATTTTTATTCAATATTTCTAATAATATACTGAACACTTACTTTGTATTTTAAGATGTGAATAACTTTTAACTCTATTAACTTTGTTGAAATTACCTTTGTGTTACTAAGCTATATATACACTGCATTGACTGGACAAATATTGAGAGAAAATTGTTTTATAAAAAAGACATAATAATTTCAAATTACTTGTATTTTTTCAAATGTGGAATATGATTAACCTCAATCGTATACTTACTTTAGATTTCTCAGTCGTGGAGTACTTTTGTAACTTAAACCACTACTGTTTTATGAGCGTATATGTGGAAATAGACAAATACTACCTTTTACTTTAAATGGAAAACACCGATTCAGAAGAAGCAAATAAAAAAGGGCCATGGGGTCTATAAGCCGGAGAAGTCGGATTTCCTGTTGGTAAGTATGTCTCTAAATAACAGGCTGATTTAGCACGTAACGTGTGTGGCTATGATGGCTGTAATATTGTGCACTATGAAAAATATATGGGTGAAACTTAACATCCAGGAATGAAACCCGACCCTTCTACATTCCTGGCAAGCTTCAAGAAATAGTGTGAAAATTATTTTCATTGTTTTTTTTTGTAAATTACCCTAAATAAATCTTACAAAGTGACAAAACCTTGATTGTTGAATATTTTGAGTAAAAACTGAAGTATCACTAAAAATTATTATTTTTTACTTAAATTATAAAACTGATAAGCAGACATCCACTTGACACTTGAAAAGTGTTGACCAGTCCAGAAGGGGGCACACCCATCACTCTTATTACAATAAAAATTCTATCTAAGCATATTATTTTCAATTTATGGCTCATTACTTATGAATCTAAAGCTACAACTGATTTGTTTCTTTGAAAGACTACACATTTTCAATTTCCTTTAATACCATTCATGTACACAAAAGATAAATATTTATTTATTAAAATTGCAACTGAAATCCTGAACAGTTAGTGACACTTTATACCTTATAAATACAATTTAAAACTTAAGGTGAGCAACTGATAAAAGATAAGAATCTTTACTCGCTTGAAATTACCTGACATATGATGAATACGCACAAACGATCAAATAGTATTTGTTGAACACATTCTCTGGGTACAATAACATATTTTATTATGTGAACAAAAGAACTTCAGAGAAAGCAAAACACAATTAAATATGTGCAAGATAGATTCTTACCCTGTCGGTCCTCATTCAGCTGCAGAACAGGACGACGTCCAGTTTTACTTCTGTGTTTTCCCATCTTCACCTAATTACAAGTAATAATGTAATAGTATTAAACATGAAAATTATTATTATTTAAATAAAACTTAATATACAATGAAAGCTTAGAACTCTGAAAACATTGTAATAACTAGGAAAGTAAATCACAGTGACTGGGCAAGTTTTAATTTGACATGGAAAACTGACAATAAATTACTAACATTACGATTTGTATCAGTCATGCCGAGTTGTGTGGATAGAAAATGCTAAACTTACCACTTTTATTATCTCTACAGTAACACCAATGCTCAACTAAAAGGTTACACCTAATGACTAATTATAACAAACACCATCTACAAATATAGCCTCATACAACTAAACAACAAAAAGTGTAGAATCCACAGAACAACAAATACCCATCAGGAAAAACCATACAAGATAAAACTCATTCCAGATAAAAATAAATAACTAGTTAGATTTTACTTACAAGTTAGCATGTTAAATTTATAAGTCCACAGATAACAAAAATGCTTCCTTATGGCAGTTTTTTCAGCCCTTAACAATTTTGAATGTCTGAATAAAATTGTATGTAATTGTTGTTTAAGGTTCTCCCTATAGTTAAATGGTTTATAGTACAGTTAATTTTGCACATTGTTTTCTAGGTTAACAGTAACCTACTTACACTATTTAATAATGACCTAAAAAATGAAAACTAAGCCAATTTAACTAGTGTTAATTATAAAAAAAAAAAACTTTTAAATTCTGAGTATTATACTTTTATTCTAGTGCCCCGGTGAGTTGTACATGACTCCCACTCTAGCAGAACTTATATCTGTGTCACCTTGTCCTTCCACTCTCACCATTAAGTACAAAAGGTTCATCAATACTATCAATTCCATTGATTTTGAACATCTCAATCAGAAGATTCTAACTTTCGTTTTCAAGAGAAAACAATATCAGAGATCCTAACTTGTCCTCATATAAAAATCTTTCTAACCAAAGTTAGAATCCTTTCCAATAATTCAATGTCCTTCTTAAGATAAGAAGCCCAAGACTGAACACAACACCTCAAATTAGGCCTAACTAATAGCCTATACAAAGAAATAACTTCTTTAGACTTTCATATTTCTGTAAAATAAACTAAAAAAACCCTATTTACACTAGCAACAGTACACTGCTTGGATAGCTTAAGAGACTGATCACACAAAACACCAGGATCCTTTTTTTAAAGTTACATATACCTCCAATTATGTTTAAATTATCTGAAGTCTAGCAGGGAATAACTGAATTTAAAACTATTGGCATAATGAATATTTTTCTTGTCACTGTTATCAGAAAAATCTTAATTATAGAAACATTCATCTTAAACTATTAAATTGGTTTTATAAAACTTACAGTTTCCAAAATGTGCAATTTCTCTGAGAATAATAAAAGTTAGATGACTCTAAGCCACCAACCTTTAAAGAAAAGTTTTTGTAATACTTTGGTCTTGACAGCTTGGCAATAAATGTATTCACAAATTACTAGTTTTAAATGATGAATAATCATGAAAGCTACTCAAAAACTCAAATACTAACATAACACTGATTTTAGGCAATTATCCAAATTGTTAATGAAACTAAAAGGATGGAAAGGTCAATTCTTTAAGTAGGGAAGACTTGAATAGTCTTAATGTGCATTAATTCTACTAATAAATGACCTTATAGAAAACTGGGTGGATGGAAGAAAGCAGGTGATTGCTATAAATGGGGTTCATATTCAAACTAATGTTACAGAATTTATTGTGTGTGTGTGTGTGTGTGTGTTAGGACCTTTGTTGTTTTCAATTCACAATATTAACATAGATAAAGGAATGGTCAATAGATTATTCAAATTTGCTGATGATATTTAGGTTTTGAGTGTTGCTGGCTGTGAGGATGCTGCTGTTGCTTTATAAAAGGATTTCTATTATTTGGCAAGTTTAGAAAATAAATGGTATATGGCTTTCAATTATAGTAACTAAAAGCTAACTCTTTCACAACAGGTACACTTTTAAATGCTTTTTCTGTGCAATTTACTGTGTTGCCTTCAAAATTAAATTAAACACCTTTACTATCAATGTATGTGAATGAAATTAATGTTATAATGTATATTATGATTCAAGTTTTATGTTGTCACATGGCCAACAAGATATGACAATTCTCTGCTTTGGCAATCTGTATCTTCAATAATATAATGGCAGTACTGTAGATGTATGTCTAGACTATAAGATGCTTGCATAATCTTTTGACTCGTACATTTCAAAGTTCTCTGAATGAATGCAGTTGAAACAAGTAATAAAATTTTTCAACCCCTCACAGGTGCCAAGCCCACCTTCAACAGATTTGTTTGAGCCTTATAGCCTACATGCAGATATTACATACACATGTGTATAGTAATTAGAAAGAGCTCATTTCACACTATAATCTAACAATGGTTATTTTGAAATTGGTGTGCAGTTGTCGTCACAGAGTACATGTAACTGACTGTAGTACTGTTGGCTGTTTGATCAACTATAGCATTTATTGTTGTTTCTTACATAAATATGTTATACTTACTAAGTTAGAAATACAGTTTAAATTGTATTTAGGTCTTACTTTTATATTTTAGTTAATTATGTACTAGTTATGTTTTAA